AAAACAAACCGGTGTGCCGACAACCAAAAGGGCGCTGAAAACCAAAGGTGCGCCGAAAACCAAAAGGACGCCGAAAATCTGGGTAGCGTCGAAAACCCAAAGGCGCTGAAAACCAAAGGGGGGCGCCGAAAACTAAAGATGCGCCGACGAGCAAAAGAGCCCCGAACACCACAGCGGCACCGAAAACCAAAAGGGCGCCGAAAACCACATAGGAGCGTCAAAACCGAACGGGCGCCGAAAACCAAAGGATCGCTGAACACCAGTAGGGCGCCGAAAACCAAAGAGGCGCCGACAACCAAAAGGGCACCGAAAACCAAACGGACGCCAAAAACCACAGGAGCGCCGAAAATTAAACGGGCGCCGAAAACCACAAGGGCGCCGCAAACCAAATGGGGCGCCGAGCACCAAACGGGCGCCGCAAACGAAAGGGGCGCCGAATACCAAAATGGCGGCGAACATCAGGAGGGCGGCGAAAACCAACCAGACGCCGAAAATCAAAGGGCGCCGAAAACAAAAAGGGCACCGAAAATCAAAAAAGGTGCGGAAAATCAAAAGAACGCAAACAAAAACAACAAATCTCCGAACACCAAAGACTGTGCAGAAAACTACAAACGGGCAACGGAAACCAAAGGGTGCGCAGAAAAACAAAGGGGCGCCGACAACCAAAAGGGCGCCGAAAACCAAATGGGCGCGGAAACACAACGACGCGCCCAAAACCAGAGGGTTGCCTAAAACCTAGAAGGAGAGCCGAAAACCAAAGGGGCGCCGAAAACCAAAGGGGCACCGAAAACCAAAGAGCGCCGAAAACCAAAGAGGCGCCGAATACCAAAACGGCGCCGAAGACCAAAGGTCGCCGGAAACCAAAGGGGCGCCAAAAACCTGAGGGGCGTTGAAAACCGAAGGCGCCGAAAACCAAAGTGGCACCGAAAACCAATCGGGCGCCAAAAACCAACGATGCGCCAAAAAACAAAAAGGAGCGCGGAAAAGCCAAAGGGGCGCCAAAAACCAAAAGGATGCCGAAAGCCCACGGGTGCGCCGAAAATTACACGGGCGCCGAAAACCAACGGGGCAGAAAATCAAAGAGTGGGGCGCCGACAACCACAGCGGCGCCAAAAACCAAAAGAGCGCCGAAAATCCAAAACCGCGCCGAAGACCAAAGGGCGCCGCAAACCAAAGGGGCGCCAAAAATCCAAGGGGTGTTGAAAACCGAAGGCGCCGAAACCAAAGGGGCACCGAAAACCAATGGGGCGCCGAATACCAACGATGCGCCAAAAACAAAAAGGACGCAAAAAACCAAAAGGGCACCGAAAACCAATGAGGCGCCGAAATACAAAGGAATGGCGAACGGACCAAGACGGCGCCAAAACCCAAAGTGGCGCCAAAAACCAAACCGGCTCCGAAAACCAAAGGGGCGCCAAAAACCAAAAGGGCACCGAAAACCCACGGTGCGCCGAAAATCAAACTGGCGCCAAAAGCCAAAAGGGCGCCGAAAACCAAAGGGTGCGCCGAAAATGACACGGGCGAGGAAAACCAAAGGCGCGCCGAAAACGAAAGGTGCGCCGAAAACCACAAGGGCGCCGGGAAAGGTAGCTTCGAAGATCCCCCCCCTTCAGCCAGGGCCCTCCAGCTGGAAATGAGCACACAAAATGATGGGAGGGGCGGTAGCTTCGGAAGGCCCCCCCCCCCTTGGGCGCACCTCGGGCCCCGAAAAGGGAGGAGGGGGGGTAGCCTCCAAGCCCCCCACCGTTCAGCCAGGAACCCCCCAGCTACAAAATCTACGCAAAGGGGGAGGGGAGCTTCGGACGCCCCCTATCCCTTTAGAAAGGGGAGCCCAGGCGTGCCCCGAGCCCTGGGAAGGGGGGAAGGTAGCTTCCAATCCCCGCCCCATTCAGCTAGCCCCCCCCCATCAGCTACATAATGCCGACCCGAGGGGGAGAGGGGGGGTTAGCGTGGGAAGCCCCCCCCCCTTTTCCAAGGGAGGGGGGGAGGATAGATGGAAGCTGGGGGTCCCCTTTTCTTACTCCCGTCGCTGAGTGGGCGCTCTCTCAGACATCTCTTGACCACGACCAAAAGGAAATCCAACGAAATGATCTTGCCTGTTCTTGCGCCCTCACAAGGCCGGACTTATTCCCCCCCTGGGGATGTGCAATTTACATAAGATTCTGCTCAATCGCTCATGCAATCCCCCTTTGCAAAAAAAACACTATGCTCGCACACTGTTTCATCACAAGTCGTACATGTTCAACAATCCCTTGCGAACAATGGGACGAAGATCCCAGAAGGCTGACCTCCATCCGCAGGAGAAGGACCACCGCGGGGACACCCGACGTTTTCGGGCGCGGCCCGGCCAGCCCCTCAAGTGACGAGCCCCTCCAGCGACGAGCACCTTCGGTGGCCAGCCCCAGAAGTGACATTCCTTCAGTGACGAGCCCCCGTATCTTGGCGGCGCGCACGTGGGGTTGGGGGGAGCAGGGAAGGAGCCCTTAGAAGGGGGCTGCTCCCTAGAAGGCGCTGGCCTCACATCCACAGACAGGGCCCGCACCTTCTGAGAAGCCGGGGTGCTCACCTGAAGTCGTGTCTTCTCCCCCCAACGGCCCTCTGCGCGTGGCCGGAGACAGCCGGACCTGGGGCAGAACAAATGCAGCAAGAGCATGAGACCCTCCGCCGGCCAGCCTGGAGAGAACGCTCGAGGGCACCCTCCCCCAGCACGAAAAACAGTCGAGCACCGCAGGTTGGCGCGGCGTCGTCGCGCGCAGAGGTTTTTGACACTGCGGCGATCATTCAAGCTTGAATCTGATCGCGGCCCCGATCGTTCAAGGTTGACATCCGTCGGGCCCGATGGCGTCACCGTATCCCTCGGTGCGTCAGCGTCGCAGAATTCACCCTCAAACGCCTTCGCTTAAGTCGCTGGCGCGCCATCTCCGCATGAACCTACCGTGCCCTCCCCAAGCCGGCCACGATCTTATACCTCGGTCCGACCGTATCATCAGGTCGGGCATGTCCCCCTGCAGGCGGATTTGGGCGAAAAATGAAACATAGACCAAAAAAAACAGCATAGTCAAATATTAATCGAAAAACAATTCCCAGCCTATATCTTTACTATTCTTGCGCATTCCTTCTGTAGAGGGACGTGCCCGACTAAACGCTGGTGTCGCCGGCGCGCCATCGCCGCATGAACCCACTCTGCCCTGCCCCAGCCGCCCTCGACCTTATTTGGCGGCGCGCAGGGGGGGGGAGGGGGAGGGGGGAAGGCTTCTTAGGAGGAGGCTGCTTCTTAGAAGCCGCCAGCCTTACATGTATAGATAAGGCCGACACCTTCTGAGAATCAGGGGTGCTTTTCAGGGGAACGAAGAATGACATTAGCAGAAAAACTCGGATGGCCGCAATGCTTCTCGGGAGCCCCCTCGCGCGCCTTCTGGGAGGCTGTCTACCGCAGGTTCTTGCCGTGTCGACCACACCGTTGCGTTTCGTTTCGGCACGGGCCCGCCCGCGCGATCCCTAGCGCTCAACTCGGCAACACAGCGGAAGGGAAAAGACAACAGAGGCGGCAGCAGCAGCGGCGGCGGCGAGAGAGCGGGAGATGGGGAGTGACGAATGCACGGCTCGTCGTGCCGACCCCAAGGGCCGGAAACCGATGACCCCACCGTTGGTTCCTGACACAGCGGGGATCGTTCAACCTTTAAAAATCGGCAGTTTTCAAAACGCTGAATCTTTCGACAGTGGCCTTCTCAGATGGCCGCAGTGCTTCTCGGAGGCCCTCGCGCCTTCTGAGAGGCTGTCTACCGCAGGTTCTTGCCGTGTCGACTCCACTAGGGGGCCACACGCGACCCCTCCCCCTACCCCCCAGGGTGTCTGAGGAGGAGGGTGGGGTTCACTTCGCTCGTGAGCCCCACCCTCCTCCTCAGGAATCGTGTGGGGGTCGGGATAGGGCTCGCATGTGGCCCCCTAGTCGACCCCACCGTTGATTCCTGACACAACGAGGATCGTTCAACCTTGATCGATCGGCCGTTTCCGAAACGCTGGATCTTTCAGCAGTGGGCCGATTCCGGTCCCTGGCGGCGTTCAGCCGGGTCGCCGCATGTGGACACGACGGGAACCTACCGAAAGCCTTGTCCAAGATGCAGGAACTCCTCAGAAGGCGAGGGGGCTTCTTAGAAGCCCCGCCGCCGTCTGACAAGGCCTGCTGCCCCTCAGATCTTCCCTGGGCTACGCCGCCGAGCCTAGTGGGCTCTTCTTGTCTTGCTGACGGAACTGGCTTTGCCACGGCGGGGTTTCGACACAATGCGGATCCGTGCCGCCTCGTAGGCGCCTCGTGGGCGCCCCGCGCTTGGGTGGGGTACGGTGGGTATTTGCCACGTTGCGGGCCCGTACCGCCTCGTGGGCGCCCCGTTGTGAAATCTTACACGACACAGCTTTGGCCATATAGCTTGCACAAAAGATATTGCACGGAGAGCTTGAAATACATAGCTTGCACCATTAGATTGCACTGCATAGCTCACGCCACACCATAGCTTGCGCCAGAGCGTACACCGCAACGTGCAACATAGCTTGCACACCAACTAGGTTACACAACTCGCTCACACAACTATCTTGGACACCATAGCTTGCAATGCATAGCGTCCACCTCTAGTTGGTACCGCCTTGCTTGAACGACACAGCTTATCACATATCTCACCCCAACTAACTTGTGCCTATGGTGTCCAATTGCAAAGCTGGCGACACATAAATTAAACCACATGCATTGCATCACTTACCATGCACCACATACAGTGAACCACATAGCTTACTCAACCATAGTCAAATTCCTTACTGTTTCAGGTTCACGCCGAAACAAAAACACAATATTCAAAATTGTATACGTGCATTCATATATATATATATATAAATACACACATATGTGTATATATATACATAATTATTTATGTGTGTATGTGCGTGTGTGCCCACCACTTCTCTCTTACCCATCTCTCTGTCTCCCTCTCTCTCTCGCGCCTTTTGCCCTAGCCAGACGATTTGAGCCAACGCTCGCAGATGCAAGGCAAGCGAAAATCCCAGCCGGGAAAAAAGCCAGCAGGAAGTCTGGCCCCACCGCCTTCCTCGGCACCGTCTACCAGCACACGCTGTGAGATCTCATCGCCCTCGCGAGCGAACTCGCTGCACGGCAGATCTCCCCACATCCCGTCTCGCAGCACAGTCGCCGCGGCACACTCAAATAGAGCGCCAGGCTCTGCGTTGTCGGCGGGTCGACCAGGCTTCCAGTGATCCCAGAGGACGATCGTGTCATGAACGGACGCCGCAGGCACAGGCGGTGGTTGCCACAACCAGCGTGCATCAAGCGACTCTTCTTCCGCACAGGAAGTCGATTCCGCTCTACCGGTCGAGCTAGAGCACTGATCGGCACCACGAGCATCAGCACCCGGTCTTCCCTTGCCATTCGTCAGCGCAGTTACATTCGGCACCCGCACCTTGCGCAGAGCGATCCAGAAATCCCTGTACCACCACGCGATCCCTTCCGCGCAAAAGGAACCTGTACACCACCGCCAAGCTTGGCCCGGGCCACCATGGGCCCTGGGCTGGTGCATACCAGCACCTGGCCGAGGCCAGCATGATCTACGCACCATCCGAGTACCCAAGGTTGCCCTTGCCAAGCATGGTGGTGTCTGGGTGCCTGCTGCGGACCTTCTTCGGTCTTTGACGCCCTCGTCTGCTCCGCGGTGAGCGCATTCTCCAGCACGAACGCCGTAACTGCCAGCGAGCGCAAAGAGACGACACCTCCTTGCGGCGAGAGCTCAGCGCAATACTGCGCGCATTGGTCCCACGTCAGCCGCACGCCCGTGTTCGCGAACTGAACGAGTTGGCCACGCCCTATGGCAGGCCCACGTCGCGATGACGCCAGCGCGGTTTTCTGACACTGGGCGGACCGTTCGAAACCTGGAGTGGTCGCGGCCTTCCGCTGGTGCATATATCGCTTGGTGCTGGCGTTTTCCGAGCCGCTGGCGGCGTTCAGGCTTGAGCGCGTGCACCGGCCTCGCCGCCACGTCGACGCGAAACCCGCCGCAGGGAGATGGTCGCCCCTGGCGATCCCACTCTCCACAACATCATTGAGATGTTCTGGTATCGTCACCCAGTTCGCAAGCGATCCCGGGAAGGTATGTCGCGCGCAGACATCACAAACGTTCGACACCAATCCAAGGAGTTCAGCCAAGACAGCGAAACGCCTCAACCGACCATACATGTGCCAGTAAACCATCAACGTCGAACCGCAATCCTCGCTGAATAACACCCGAATCGCTCGAGCTCTAAAACAGCAGCGGCCACAGAAAGCTTTATGCATGGTAGGCGGTTCAGATTCAATCTGCTCAAAAGACATGAGGTCGTCTGCGGAGCCGCCAGCCGAAAGAATGCCGTGGTCCCCGATGCCTGTAGGAACATGGCAAAGACAAGGGCCCTGGTCTGCCCAAGTCGAGAGCTATACTTTTCGAGTGGAATCGAATTAGCCTGACGAAGGACCCAACCATATGCAATTGTAGGTGCCGTCGCTGTATGCACCGCCTTCGGTGGAACTCCTTATGGGGCCACGAAACGTCTGAGTGGTGTGCCAAAATGGGTGCGGCGGGCGCATGCGAGCGCTGGCATTTGGGCATTCGGTGGGGCTCCCTATCGGGCCACGAAACGCGTGAGGGGTGTGCCAAAATTGTCGCGGTGGAAGCATGCGAGCGTTGGCATTTGGGCCTTCGGTGGATCTCCGTATGATGGGTGCGGTGGGCAAGCGCTAACAGTTGGGCATTCGGTGGAGCTACCCATGGGATCACGAAACGTATAAGGTGTCAGTGCCAAAATGAGAGCAGAGGGCGCATGTGAGAATTGGCATATGAGCTTTCGGTGGAGCTCCCTATGGGGCCACGAAGCGTGTGAGAGGTGTGCCAACAAAATTTGCGCAGTGGGAGCATGCGAGCGCTGGCATTTGGGCTCCGGTGGAGCTCCCGACAAGGCCGAAGCGCGTGAGGTGTGTGTGCCACAATGGGTGCGGCGGGCGCATGCGAGCGCTGGCATTTGGGCCTGCGTTGGAGTCCCCTATGGGGCCACGAGACGTGTGGCGTGTGTGTGTGTGTGTGTATCAAAACGAGCGCGGGGGCACATGCGAGCGCTGGCGCTTGGGCCTTCGGTGGAGCTCTCTACGGGGCCACGGAAAGTGTGAGGGGCGTACCAATGTGGGCGCGGTGCGCGTATGCGAGCGCTGGCATTTGGGCCTGCGTTGGAGCCCCCTGTGGGGCCACGAAGCGTGTGAGGGGTGTGCCAAAATGGATGCGGTGGGCGCATGCGAGCGCTGCATTTGGGCCTTCGGTTGAGCTCCCTGAGAGGCCACGAAACGTGCGAGGTGTGTGTGTGTGTGCCAAAATCGCGGTGGGCGCATGCGAGCGCTGGCATTTGGGCATTCGGTAGAGCTCCGTATGGGGCCACGAAACGTGTGAGGGGGCGCACCCAAATAAGGGCGGTGGGCGCATGCGAGCGCTGGCATCTGGGCCTTCGGTGGGGCTCCCGATGGGGCCGAAGCGCGTGAGGGGTGTGCCAAAGTGAAGGGGGTGACGGGAGGAGGGAGAAGGAGGAGGAAAGATAGGACGCGGGGCGCTGTCTCTTCAAAACGAGGACCCAACGCCACAGCATGGTTGGGAGGGAAAACAGATGTGGACGTATGGGGGCGCAGCGTGGAGACGCAGACACAGCAAAGACAGAGGCGGGTGAGGAAAACTACGCAACGACAAAACAATCGCTACTCAGCCAGCAACGCCCAAGAATGAGGCCCATAACAATGCAGCACTCGCCGATGATATCACTGTTGCATCATCGCTGGTCAATCGAAGTTGGCCCTGAGACCGACAGCTCACCCGCCTGTAGACATGACGACGCAGAGTTACGTGCAAAGCAGCGGCAACAGCTATCGACTGCCACTAATAGATATGAAAAGCACGATGTGTCCTGCATGCTGTCTGTCGGGGAAGGGCGCTATGCCTCTTAGCGTGCCGAACAATGGCGTGCGATGGCATAACCACACATTCGCCCACATACACACACACACACACAAAAAAAAAAGCGCGCACACATACACACACACAGACACCAGCGAAACGTGTCGCACACACACACACACACACACACACACACACACACACACACACACACACACCGCCTCGCGGCCATTCTGGTGTGGGAACGTCACGCTTTCCACAACAAAACCGTCGAACCCCACTCCACCCCCCCCCCAAAAAATAGCCTGGCGAAGAACCGAACAATATGCAGTTGTGAATACCATAGTTGTGCGCATCGTCTTCCGAGGAGCTCCCTGTGGGCCACAAAGGCCTTACTGGGTGGGGGAAACGCATGCGAACTGCACCAATGGCGCCTTCGGTGGAGCCCCCTCTGGGGCCACGAAACTGTGTACTGGGCGGGGGGGACGCATGCGAACTGCGCTACCTGGGACCTTCGGTGGAGCTCCCTCTGGGGCCAGGATACACTGCACTGGGCGGGGGGACGCATTCGAACTTCGCCACTGGCACTTTCGGTGGAGCCCCCTCTGGGGCCACGAAACGCTGGCAGGGGGGACGCATGCAAACTGCGCCACTGGGACCTTCGGTGGAGCTCCCCCGAGGGTTTCGAAACGCTGCACTGGGCGGGGAGGACCTATGCGAACTGCGCCACTGGAACCTTCGGTGAAGCTCCCTATGGGGCCACGAAGCGCTGCACTGGGCGGGGGGGACGCATGCGAACTGCGCCACTGGAACATTCGGTGAAGCTCCCTATGGGGCCACAAAGCGCTGTACTGGGTGGGGGGGCGCATGCAAACTGCGCCACTGAGACCTTCGGTGGAGCTCCCTCTGGGGCCACGAAACGCTGTACTGGGTCGGGGGGGACGCATGCGAACTGCGCCACTGGAACCTTCGGTGAAGCTCCCTCTGGGGCCGGGATACGCTGTACTGAGCGGGAGAGACTCATGCGAACTGCGCCACTGAGACTCCCCCCGGGGCCACGAAACGCAGTACTGGGCGGGGGGGACGCATGCAAACTGCGCCATTGGCACTTTCGGTGGAGCTCCCTCTGTGGCCACGAAACGCTGTACTGGGTGGGGGGGCGCATGCGGACTGCGCTACCTGGGACCTTCGGTGGAGCTCCCCCGGGGGCCACGAAACGCTGCACAGGGCGTGGGGGACGCATGCGAACTGCGCCACTGGAACCTTCGGTGAAGCTCCCTATGGGGCCACGAAGCGCTGTACTGGGTCGGGGGGGACGCATGCGAACTGCGCCACTGAGACCTTCGGTGGAGCCCCTCTGGGCCCACGAAACGCTGGACTGGGTGGGGGGGGGGCGCATTCGAACTGCGCATTTGGAGCGACGCCTGCGAACTGTGCCACTGGGACCTTCGGTGGAGCTCCCTCGGGGGCTACGAAACGCTGTACTGGGCGGGGGGGACGCATGCGAACTGCGCCACTTGCACTTTCGGTGAAGCTCCCTCTGGGGCCACAAAACGATGTACTGTGTGCGAGAGACGCATGCGAGCTGCGGAGGAGGGAGGAGGGGGAGGAGGAGGAGAAGAGGGGGAGGAGGAAGGAAGAAGGGGCACGGGGCGCCATCTCCTTAAAAAACGAGGACCCAACATCACAGGATGGTTGGTAAAAACAGGGACACCTGGAGGCGAGCAATGACGAACGAACAACACACACCCATACCCATAGGGAGGTCGTTGGGAAGAGGACTGGCTATGGGTATGGGTGCGGGTTGTCGGACCCTGGGGAACGCTCGCGTTCGAGCGGGGACCCCCATCCGACAGCACGCACCCATAGCCCTCTCCGATCCCCCTATGGGTATGGGTGTGTGTTGTTGGTTCGTCAAGCAAGGTGTTTCTTGGCATGGGTTTCCACTGCAAGTTCGGGCGAGGACAAATCAAAAATCTCTGAGATCTGGCCGCTCTGGAGTGTGCATCGGGCGCCGCACCCGTCTCAGAGCGCTCCAGAATACGCTCTGAGAGCGGTTCGGAACGTTCTGGAGCTGATCTATCCTCGTCCCAGCCCCGCCCGACGGGATGCAGCTCTCTTCGACCCGCGATTCCAGATCCCCGACGATCTGCGGGAGAGGATCTCGGACGTCTTTGCAGGTTCCCGCAGGTGTTCCACCCTCGGGATGCGGTCCAGTGGGGGTGCCAGAATCATCCCGAACGGCCGCCCGAGAGCCGAGTTATGACCCGAAAGCCCCGTCCGAAAGCTTCTGGGAAGCAGACGGCTGGATGCCTTCTGGGCCTTCCTGAGAAGGCCCCCCCGCCCTCGGCCTTCCCCCCGGGGCGCGCCGGCATCGCCGATAGATCGGCGAGAGACCCCACGACGACGACGACGACGACGACGACGACGACGACGACGACCACGACGACCACGACGACGACGACGACGACGACGACGACGACGACAACAACGACGACGACGACGACGACGACGAAGTGTGTGCGGTCGGGGGCCGAGGCATCCATCCGAAGATGGGCTTCGGCCAGGAGAGCCGACGCCGTCAAGAGCGGCGGCAGAAGCGAGCGGCAGCTGCGGCGGCCGGCACCGCGGAGGGCTGGAGCACAGGGGACGTTGTGCCGGGAGAGCCGCAGCCGGGAGGGCCACGTCTGGCGCTGCCCCTCGAGGAGGAGGAGGAAAAGGGAGGGAGTGGAAAAGGATGGGGGTAGGGGAGGGAGGACGGAGGGAGGAAAAAAGAGAGGTTGAGCAGAAGGCGGTCGGCCGTCCTTCAGGTCCGCCTCGAGCTTCGCGATCTCGGCGGCCAGCGTGCTGATCTCCCCCTGCGGGGAGGGCAAGTCAGGGCCGGGTGGCGGCCGTGAGAGGGCAGGAGCTTCGCGATTCTTGGAATCGGCAAGGCGAGTTCGTTTTGATGCCGTGTTGTAGTTGATCTCGTTCGTTGTTGATTTTGTTATCTTTCGACTCCCCGTTTTCGTGTTGTCTTGTGTTCTGGCGCCGTGTCTGTGCTCTGGCGCCGTGTCTCCCAGGTACAGTCGATGCTTTTGTTTCCAGTTCGCTCCAGCATCAATCCTAAAACCGCTTGTGTTCCTCTTCGGCGAG